ACATACACATACATACACATACATACACATACACATACATACACATACACATACACATACATACATACATACACATACATACATACATACACATACATACATACATACATACATACTATTGTAACCTGGATTACAAGTGTGGATCATTGTAACCTGGATTAAAAGTGTGGATTATTGTAGTGAAGCCTTCGTCTTCAACCATGGACAGAGGCCTCATGTCAGTGACGATCATGTTCAGGACGTTTCAGTGAAGACAGCTGCTGCTGTGGTGTCCATGATGTCTGTCCATCATGAAGGATGTTGTTGTTGTTGTTTTCTGGAATTAGAGTACTGTATTTTTCGTTGTATAAGTTGCATTTTTTTTGCCTAATTTGCATGCCCTGCGACTTATACGGCAAAGCGACGTATTTATGGATTTTTCCCATATTTTTAGACCAATTTTTGGCTGAGATGTGACTTTCCATTCATTCTGACTGGGAAAATGGTGCAGTACCATTTTCAGCCACTAGGGGCGCTAGAGGGCCCTCCAGTCTTTTGAGGACTACTGGTATACCTGTAGGCGTACCCCATTATTTATTAATTCCAGACCCACTAAAATGCCATCAGCCCGTGCCAAAAATGTCACATAGAGTAGGAGGAAAGAGGACAACACAACAACGATAGAGAAAATGCTGCCAAAGAGAAGGAGACATTCATATTCTGCTGAGTTCAAGCTGCAGGTGATGGTTTGCAGCTGAACTCGGGAACCGTGCAGCAGATCACAGGTTCGGGGCGAGCGAAAAGCTTGTTAGAGCCTGGAGGAAGGCGGAGGTCACCCTAACCGCCATGAAGAGGGCGAAGCGCGGGAGTAAGGCGAGGTGGCCAGCTCTGGAGGAAAAGGTGAAGACGTGGGTGCTGGAGGAGCGAGCTTCTGCCAGAGGGCTGTCCACGGTGCAGCTACGTCTCCAAGCCATGGCGGTTGCCAAGGAGCTGGACTTGGCAGAGTTTGCGGGTGGACTGTCGTGGTGTTTCAGGTTCATGCACAGGAACCGTCTCCATCAGAGCGTGGACCTCCATGTGCCAAAAGCTGCCGGCTGATTTTACAGAAAAGGAGGAGAGTTTCCACGCCTTCGTGGACGGGCAGGTGCAGGAGCACAGCATCTCGCCTGACCCATATCCCAATGGGACGGAGTGGGGCGCAGAAAGGGAAAAAAGCGTGCCCATGCTCACCACGGGTCACGAGAAGTCCCACTTCACTGTGGTGCTGGCATGCTGCGCCACGGATCAAAGCTGCCGCCCATGGTGATTTTTAAGCGTACAACCACGCCGAAGGAGGAGTGTCCCCGCGCGTGGTTGTGAGAAGGGGTGGATGGACACAGACATGGTGAACGTGTGGCTCACAAAGTGCTACACGAAGCGACCAGGTGGGTTTTTTAGAGCAAAAACAGCCCTGCTGGTGATGGACAGCATGCGTGTGCACATCACGCTGCAATTTAAAGATCAAATTCAAGCGTGCATCTCCGTCCCTGCCGTCATCCCGGGAGGCTCGACAGAAGTGCTGCAGCCTCTGGACGTTTCTGTGAACTGGAGCTTCAGAGCAGCTCTGCACCGTCTTTAGGGACAGTGGCCGGAGAGCACAGCTTCACGGCTACGGCACGGATGTGCCACGCAACGTTCCAGCAGGGCCTCGGCTGGATCGGTGAAGCGTGGACCTGAGTCAGCACAGAAACGATCCGGTCGGGGTTCAGAAAGGTCGGGGTGTTGGTTGGAGCTGACGCGGAGGACGACTCCGGCAGCCCCGGGGAGGAAGAGGAGGCAGCGCTGCAGCACCTACCTCAGGAGTTGGCAGAACTCTTCACCAGCGACACAGAGGACGAAGAATTCAACGGGTTTGAATAAAAATAGATAAATAGGTGTTTGTGTCATCATTATGGGCGGGTGGGCGTGTAGGAACGCTGAAGCCATTTCATTACGTCTGCTTCATTTTGCTGTTCTGACCGTCAAAGTGCATGTATCATCTGAGACACACCCTTACTATAATTTTGAGCAAATAAAAAAATGTTTTTAGGAGGTTATCTTGTTACATTTCTAAGAACTGTGGAGGCTCGTACAGCTGGCAGCACAGCAGCAGGTGACGCTGGGGGAACCGAAACTTAGAAATGCAGCTGATTTGACCATTAAAGTGCATTTATTAAGGAAAAGCTCAACTGAGACGCACCTTTTACTGTAATTTTGAATAAATAAATAATTGTTTTTAGGTGTTAATCTTGTTAAATTCTTGTTAAAGTCCTCCCGTGCACGCTCTTGTGGCCGCCATTTGGCAGCCAATCTATTTTTGGCACAACACTGATCCACATTTCTGGGTTGTCAACAGTGACGCATAATAGATGCGACTTATACGGCGAAGCGACATATTTATGGATTTTTCCACGTTATTGGACATAATTGGACTGATGCGACGTTTACGGCAGAAAATATGGTATATACAGACCCTTTCCAAAAATTTGAATATCATGGAAAAGTTGTTTAACTTCCATAATTCCATTCAACAAGTTAATCTTTAATAGATTCAGGGCCCTCAATTTAAACAATTTCAAGTATTTATTTGTTTATTTTTACATAATTTGGGCTTCCAGCTCATGAAACCCATGAAAACAGGATTTAAAAATATTAGAATCCTGTGGAGACATCAGCCCAAATGTTGCAGGACATGAATGTTTTAAACTGAGTGTGACACTAATCATCTACTGACCTCAAAGCACCTGCACAGGTTTCCCCAGGTGTCATTAAATTGCTTCAGCTTGTTTCAATTGTCTCAGTTTGGATCAATATGGAGAAGACTGCAGACATAACAACTGACCAGAAGACAAATCATTGATACTCTCCATAGGATGGGTAAGACACACAAGTTCATAGCTAAGGAGGCTGGCTGTTCACAGAGTGCTGTGTCCAAGCACATCAATGGAAAGTAGTGGAAGGGCAACATGTGGCCGGAGAAGATGCACCAGCAACAGTGATGACCATGGGCTTCAGCAGATCATCAAACAGAGAAGATCCAGAATCTGTCAGAGATCCAGAAAGAGTGGAATGAGGCGGAGTCACAGCTTCAACAACCACCACATTCAGACACATCCTGGAGATGGACTACAACTGTCGGGTTCCTCGGTCCTCTTTTCTGATGAAAGTAAAGTGTGTCTTTCAGAAATCAAGGTCCAAGGGTTTGGAGGAAGAAGGGTGATGAGGAACAGAACCCATACTGGTTGAGGTCCAGTGTGAAATATCCACAGTCAGTCATGATCTGGGTGCAATGTCCGGTGCAGGTGTTGGTAAACTCTGCTTTCTTAAATCCAAGGTCACCACAACAGTCTACCAGAATGTTTTAGAGGACTTCATGATTCCTTCTGCTGAGGATCTGTATGGAGATGCAGATTTCATCTTCCAGCAGGACCTGGTCCCTGCTCATGCTGCCAGAAGCACCAGAACCTGGTTTGATGCCACAGCGCTTGACTGGACGGACCTAAACCCATTGAGAATCTATGGGGTGTTCTCAAGAGGAACACGAGGGACACCAGACCAACAACAAAGATCTGACAGCATCAAGGAAATCTGGGCTTCCATAACTCCAGTCAGTGCCACAGGATGATTGACTCAATGACACGTCTCATCGAGGCAGAGATCAAGACAAAGGCATTCACAACCAACTATTGAAGATTGACACATCGTTTTGAAAGTACCATGTTATGATTGATTTGTTGTGATCCTGATTTCTTTCTTTATGTTCTGCAAAACTGAGAAGTGTGGGCTGATGTCTTCACAGTATTCTAATTTTTTGATTTCCTGTTTTCATGGGTTTCATGAGCTGGAAGCACAAATTATGTAAAAATAAACAAATAGATACTTGAAATAGTTTAAATTATGGTCCCTGAATCTATCATCTATTAAAGATTAACTTTTTGAATGGAGTTATGGAAGTTACACAACTTTTCCATGAGATTCTAATTTTTTGGAAAGGGTTTGTATGTATTATAATTTACAGCAACTCAAGACATGCCTTGTTTCACTTAATGTTAAGGCAAAAGTAGTTCAATGAGCAATTAAACACACACACGTATAAAATACTTAATTGTGCACATTTGAGTAGATGTAATAAATTACTTTAATTGCTGATTAAATTCATTCAACCTTTTTTGATTGAATTCCTGTTTAAATGCAATTCATCCTGCCATACATGCAGTGTCTTAAGACTTTGCCAGCAAATTAAAAGTTGAAGCTTAATCATTAAATTATTATCTTTGTGTTAGATTTATTTATAAATCAGATTTAAACACTGCTTATATCAGTTAAATTAAAATATAAAGTAACATACACACGTCATTAATCAGAGAACAAGCAGCAGCTTCAGCTGCAGAGAGACTGACGTTACGTTTTCTCTCTTGAAACAGAACAATTGTAGAGACTCACCTGCAACATGAGTTGGGAGTGAGACGAGTTGTATCTGCTGCTGAGCTCCCTGGACTCCGACATGTTTATGTTTCATCTCCATGGTGCTCCATGTCATGTCGTCACTTTTCAAAGCTGCATGTTGTGCAGTTTTTATCTTTGTGAAGCGTCAAGTGCTCCCACACTGTTGAGGACTTGGGTCGAACAGTTTTCTCTGCGTTGGTCATTTGTAAAATTTACTGAATTTTCTTTGAAAACTCCGCCTCTGCTCTGCTTCCTCCTTCCTCCTCGCTCTGTTCAACTTGCGCTGCAGAGGAGTAGTTTTTTTATTTTATTAACTTTATTCAGTCAGCCAGCATGGACAATGCTCTGCAGGTGAACAAAATGGCTCTGCAGCGCCGTGAAAGACGCTTAATCGCGCAACACAACGAATCAATAATGAAATTGGTTGCAAACACTTTTAATAATCGATTTTATCGATTCATTGTTGCAGCCTAATGTAAAATAACTACTTGTACTGCAGTCTAATGTAAAATAAGTACTTACTACTTGTACTGCAGCCTAATGTAAAATAAGTACTTACTACTTGTACTACTATTCCTACTTCGTGGTTTTTCACTAATCGAGAGTCTTCAGGGTACGGATCCCCCACGATAAATGAGGGACTACTGTATTTTCTTTCATTCAGTAATTGTTACTAATGTTTGCGTATGGGTGGTTCAGTTGGTAGAGTTGTTTCCTCTCAGCGAAAAGGTTGCTGGTTCAAATCCCAGCCCCGGACCTTTCTGGGTTGAGTTTGCATGTTCTCTCCGTGCCGCGTGGGTCTTCTCTGGGTCCTCCAGTTTCCTCCCACAGACCAAAAACATGCATGTTAGGCTGACTGGTAACTAAATAGTTCCTAGTTGTGAGTGAGAGAGTGAATGGTTGTTTGTCTCGTTTGTCTCTATGTGTCCCTGTGATGGACTGGAGACCTGTCCCCCGCCTCTCGCACAGTGGCTGCTGGATATGGCCACCAATGACCCCTATGACCCGGGGAAAAAAAAAGGAAGAAGCCGGTAAAAGATAATGGATGGATGTTTGGTTATAACAAATAACACCTAATAATACAATAAGAACAAGCCCCACCTGGCTCATGACCTCAGAGAGGGATCATGGGTAAAATGTATAGTCATTGTTAATGATTTTGGTTAGCTGTTTAGCATTGTTCTTTTAGTGATTACTAGGGGCATAACGGTACGCTAAAATCACATTTCGGTCGGTTCAGTTTCAAGGAGGGTTCATTTCGGTTAATTTTCGGTACAAAAAAGGCCAAAATAAAGACTTACAAAATGTTTATTTTGAAAATATGCCAAGTAAACAAGTTCAGTCATTACAGACTTCTTAGCTGGAGGTGATCTGTTGGATGAAGAAGACTCAGCGGTTTTCATCTTCAGACTGCAAACAACACAGAGATAAAAAGAAATTAGTTAATCATATTATAATTTTAAATTAAAGTTAATTAGATCACAATAATACAATAATACGTCTTGCACGGTCATCATATGAGATGGTTGAATATCCTCTCACTCATCATCGATGTGGCAGGGCTTTAAATCTGGGGTCGGGCTTGTTGACTATCAGTTTTAGCTTTTTCATAAAGTGCTGCTACAACTTGTTGGCGTTATGGGATGTCGTAGGCAGCGGGGCTCAAGAACTTTATGATTCATGCTTTAGTTCCGTGGCACATAATCTCTTGTTAACGAAATTTAATGAGTGAAAAAATAACCGAAACGGTACGCACGTGGACCGGTCCGAACATGCTGTACCGAAACGGTTCAACACACACACATACCGTTACACCACTAGTGATTACTGTTCTGTTCTTCTTAGTTTGTGTTTATTGTGTGTTGGTTTGTATTAGGCAGTTTAGTAGAGTAACCATGAGTGAGATGGGTAGTTGTCATGAAGACATGTGGGGTTCACTCACGAGGACCCAACCCCTAGGTGTATTGGGTAGCTATGCGAGTGCCTGGGTGTGATGAAGCTAAATGCTTTTAGCGGCAATAAACTTGTTAGCCTGTCAAAAAGAATAAAATAAAATTAGCCGCAGTGTTGTATGAGCCTGTGAAAAAGTAGCAGCTTATACACTGGAAAATATGGTAATTTCATTTTAATGCAAGTTAAAAAAAAAAAACCTCTATAAATATTTTATTTTAATTGACAAATTATTTGTGTTACAGTAATTTAAAACAAAAAGCGTATTTTCCTCCATTAGTACACATTCTGGCCGTCAACAGCCACAGCCTCCAGAGCTCTGAACTGAGGCTTGGTTGTGGTGGCCCAGTCAGGGGGGTTCTGGACCCCCTCCTCTGCACAGAGTCAGACCTCCTAGTGGGGCTCAATCCACTCTTCCTCTCTTTCCTCTTCTAAAACAAATCATGGATCACCCTCTTCATCAACAAAGTCCTCTCAGTCTGACTCAGACTGCATTTCTCCTCATGATCCTCTCCACTGACAGGTTCTGACCATGTGTTTCCGTCCTCTTCTGGGTTTACAGTTTGTCACATTCAAAATTTGTCTCATTGTTTTGACTCTAACACATTAAAACTGACTAAACTAAACACTAAACCCAACTATAAAACCCAAACACTAAATATCTCAAATCTCTCAGACCTCATGACTCTCTCTCGCTGTGACTTAATTACTTTCTGAACTCAGTTCAACATCCGTCACTTTTTCTTCTTCCTGTAGATTTTGACAAATAACTTGGAGCCTCCATCATAAAGGAGGTTGTTCATCTGTTCAGCGGGGGGGTGGGGAGGGGTGAGAGTGGAGGGCGATGGGGGTGTTTTGTTTCCGAGACTGTCTTTGCTGCAGCCTCTCGCTCTAATGTGCTTCAGATACGATGATTTTTAAATAAAAGTGGCGTGTATTATTTATCATAACTCTGGTTTTACTTCATCAACACGATTTTCAATCAACCTTTATTTAGACAGGTAAATCCCATTGAGCCTCCAGGACTCATTTACAAGAGAGACCTGATTTCAACAAAGAAAGATGACAACAATGGACAACAGCAACAACAATAAACAGTTATAAAAAGTCATAATACAGGTTTTTTTTTTTTTTTTACAAATAGGATGGCTAAAAGGAAAAGGTAACAAAAAACAAAAAAACATAAAGATTCTAAGGCGAATGTAGAAAACTAAAAACTAAACTAAAAATTTTAAAACTGTTGTGTAAAATAAATTCTGTACTTGTGACTAATTAAATGTCTCTGAGAGGCTCTGTCTTTTGCGCTTGGCTAGAGCAACTGAAATCAGTCATGTGACTCGCGTACCGGCGCGTCAATTGGCTCCAAAGAGAAAATGATGTCAGTCAGAGTAGGCGGTGGTTTGCTACCTGTTATTAAGGTAGCACTTTAAAATGTATCTTATATAAAAGATGAAGAACTGATCTGTTTTGGGTATATTTATTGACTTCAAAATCTTTCCAGAGCTCACGCACGAGTTCCTTCAAATCCTGGAGAAAACACCCAGTCGACTGAAACGCATTCGCAACTGGAAGGTAAAAGTTATATTTTTGTACAAACCGGATTCCAAAAAAGTTGGGACACTAAACAAATTGTGAATAAAAACTGAATGCAATGATGTGGAGGTGCCAACATCTAATATTTTATTCAGAATAGAACACAAATCACAGATCAAAAGTTTAAACTGAGAGAATGTATCATTTTAAGTGAAAAATCTGTTGTTTCTAAATTTCATGGCGTCAACAAATTCCAAAAAAGTTGGAACAAGTCCATTTTTACCACTGTGTGGCGTCCCCCCTTCTTCTTACAACACTCACCAGACGTCTGGGGACAGAGGA